GTGGACATATAAATAATACCCTCCCCTTGGGTGGGTTAGTGCCCTGTTCCCTCACTACCCATGTCCTTTTCTTTTCTCTCTCTCTCTTTTCCCTTCCTTTTTAGTTGACTGCCATATGTATCCTTGGATTTGGTCAGACCCCTGCCATAGTGCCTAAACTTCACCTCTAGAGTGTATCTCTGCTTTCTTTTCTATGGAGGTTTCTATCTGTTTTATTCTGCTATTGTTATTAGGGGTGGGGGGGAGTTCTTTACAGGAAATCCAGGATAGATAAATCCAGAGAGACAATAACTGGATTAATAGTTTCTTAGGGCTATGACAGAGGATATTGGGGAAAATGGGGAGCTAATAATAATACAAGAATGAAGAAAAGGTTCTAAACTTGTGGTGGTGATTGCACAACTCTTTTTAATATGTATAAATCATTGACCTGCAGGATATGTGAATTATATATGGATAAAACTGTTAAAAGTTAAAAATGTTTTAAAACTTAAAATTTTAAAAACAAATAAAATCAACAACAACAAAAAGGATCCTTTTTTTGCAGGTTTAGAATCAGATGAAGGAAAAAGTTCAATTTTAATGAAAGAGCATTTTAATTAACTGTTGGTGGGAGCATGAATGAACACCACCTTCGAGGGGGCACTTTTATCAACCATCTCACAATTACAAATGTGCAAACCTTTCAATCCAGAAACCTCTGATCCAGAGATGCTTTAAAAAGAGATAATTACACAGTAGGAGAAAGATATATGCCTAAGAGATAACTATTATTTTAGCATTCACAAAAGTAAAACTAAAAAGATAAGACAAAACAAAATGTCCATCATTAGGTAATTTGTTAAGTAAAAGAAATATTCTGCTATCATTAAAAAATAAGGATTGTAGCTTTTATCTGTTCAGGTAGAAACATTATCTCCACGATTTTTTTAGTGAAAAATAAATAGCCTGTAATGTAAAATGACTTTATTTCTAAGCATACACATAGATCTGTGTGTTCATAATAAATTCAAAATCTGGGAGATTATCTCTGGATGGTGAGAGTTGGGTGATTTTTTATTTTTTTTTTGTCTTTTAGGAGGTTGTTTTTTTTTCTATTTGATTGTCTTTAGTCAATAAGCATGTGTCATCTTAGCTAACACATTAAGCTATTTTGAAAATAAGTCTTATTATCAACCCATTCACTTTTCTCATTATCATTTTACATCTCTCTGCATCCAAAGTACCACATTTCATCAATTCTGCCCCCCACATTTTCTTTTTGCTCGGATGGCATTTAACAATGCTGTTGGCCAGGAGGCAGTAATGACAGTTGTTATGGCCTGTGAATGTGGAGACTTGGCCATGGTTATTTTATTGCCATCATTTCAATCAATTACATGCATTGCTAGTACTACATTTGTTGTCTATAATTGGCATTTAAAATTACTCTGGTTACTAATCACTCTGGTTACTGTGTAACTAATCACCTCAAAACTTGGTGCTTAAAACAGCAGCTCTCATTTTATTATACCTCAGTTTCTGTGGGCCAGGAATTCGGAGCATGCTTGAATGAGTGCTGCTAGTTCTGGGATTCCTGAGATTGCGGTTAGAAACATTAAGGATGAAGGGAAGAGGAATATCCAGGACCTGGAAAAGCATCTTTCCTTGACTATATATTCTCAGGCTTTCTCCGTGTGCTCCTGTGAAGGTAGGCTGATTTGGGCTTCCTCACAGCATGGCGGCCTCAGAGTAGTCAGAATCTATCTCAAACTGGGGGCTTCTGAGCAAATATTCCTGTAAGCGAAGTAGAAGTTACATGGTCTTTTCAGCGCAAGCCTTGGAAATCACACAGCACCTCATTTCCTGCATTACGGTCATTAGTCATCAGCAAATCACAAACTACCCTAGATTTAAGAGAGATTAGACTTCATGTGTGGGAGTAGTAAGGTTTTAGCAACACATATGGGGTCAGAGCTATTATGGTGGTCATCTCTGGAAAATAAAATCTGCCACAAAATGCTTTCAAGGAGATCACACTATGAATCAGCATTGAAATGTATCTATTTTAAATCTACAAAGACGTTAGATTATTAAAAAAAACAAGTCCATATTTTTATACATGAGTAAGCCAAAATGTATTGCTACTGAATTTCCAGTTCATACATACATGGGTTTGTCCCAAATGAAGTGACACATGATCTCAGCAGTAGCCTTGTCTTTGTCTCTTTCTCAGCTCATTCCCATCGAGTTGATGCCACTCACAGTGACCCTATAGGGCAGGGTCCTTTAGTAACTGTAGCTGTTTCAATGGAGTAGAAAGTCCCATCTTCCTCTCACAGAGCAGCTGTTCGTTAACTGAGGAACTTGCACTAGAGCTCCCTTTAGTCGCTGTAGGGTCTTTTTTTAAGAAGATTGAATCAAAAAAGTGGCTCTGCGGCTGTCTGCTGGGTTAGTTAAATTTAAGAGTCAGTGGTCAGCACAGATGTTATAGCAAATGTATTGGGGGATCTCAAAGGGGTAATCTTGAAAGATTTTTCTTAAAGGAAATAGGGTCATCACAGGGACTTCTGCTAAGAAAAGTGGGAACTTCATTCGTAAGGAAAAGGCCAGGAGAATGACTCTGAGGAATTTGTTTCCATTACTACCACTCACCTGCTCATTCTGGGAAGAAAGAGGGCGGTTCTATGAGCATTTCATTAGGAAACCTGACCCCATCCATTGCTCAGCCCTGATTTGGCCCATTCAGCCAGAGCACAATTTGAGTCCCTCACGGGTGCCCCAACAGCCATTTTGATGTGCTTGCTATGCATCAAAAAACCAGAATCCTTCAGGGGAACATTAGCAAGGTGGAAACACTGCCTTCAGAAACAAATAGACCTAAATGAAGGTTATGGTGAGAAACAGTAGCTTCACATTCCGGTATTTTTTTGTTTCATGAAGATTTCTACAATTTGGCAGCCATGCTTTTTTGCTATGTGTAAAATTAAAATTCTAAGTGAAAAGGATGCAGTGTTTCATAGTTTCACTGAAAGAGCCTTTCTTTCTCTCTTTCTTTCTTTCTTTCTCTTTCTTTCTTTCTTTCTTTCTTTCTTTCTTTCTTTCTTTCTTTCTTTCTTTCTTTCTTTCTTTCTTTCTTTTTCTTTCTTAGTGATTATGCCAAAGGACAAAAGGAAACCCAGTGACATAGCGTATTTGAGGTTGGCCATTACAATTCCAGGTCAGCAGTTAAAAACCAGCAGCCACCATGAGCGAGAGACAGGCTTTCTTCTCCCATACAGATAACAGGCTCCACTATCCCAGGAGCAGTTCTCCTCCACCCTTCCTCAGTTGCTCTAAGTCAGCACTGACTCCAGGCCAGTGACATCCCAGAGATGCTTCCCTGTGCCCTTCCAGGGCTACTTCCCCTCCACACCTCTCCTTGGGAGGTAGATGGTCTAGATGATGTCAAAGTGCTGGCTCCACAATGGGCAGGTCTTGGAAGAGCTAGAAGGAGGCACAAGAGTAGGAAATACGTTCTCTCCTCACCTCCTCAACCCCCTGCCCAGGTGCGTTCCTTCTGCCCAGGTGCTACACTCTCTCCCTCCTGGAGGGGGTCATAGATTCTCTGATGTTTGCCCCAAGTTCCTGCACTTGTCTTTCTGTCTCCCTTGCAATTTTATAATTAGACCCATTGTAAATAAGTCCGCGACCGATAGAGAGGCACGCAGAATACTCCTGTCTCTTTTACAACGAATGCATCTTAGAATAAATTAAATCCAATCAGAGAGTGGACTCACTTTTCTTCCTTTTACATATTAGGAAAATGAACAGAGACTGGCCTTTCCAAGGCCTTCCCACTGTGAGTGGGTAGCTTGGTGACAGCTGGGCATTAAGAAGCAAGACTCAGACAAATGATCTGTTGCAGAGAAGCATGAAGGAGCCCTAGCGGTGCAGTTGTTAAGGGCTGAGCTGCTTCTGAAGGGCTGACGATTTTAGCTCACTAGTCATCCCAAGGTCCTCCGGGGCAGTTCTACTGTGCCTTAGATGGTCTCTGTGAAGTGTAATGGATTGGATGGCAATGAGATTTGGGGTTTGACAGGCATGGCTACTGGACTCGGGAACTATTGGTCTAACTGAATATGCTCTGTGTTATAAGTCCATTGTATTACAAGACACTTTCAGCTGTGGGTGCTCAGTTGCTCAGGGCCACAACTTGATCTGATCATCTATGATATAAGCAAGACATAGCCTAGCTGTGTTGGGAAGCAGATGGGGAAAGAGAGAAGCAGCAGGAGAAACTGGTGCCCAAACAGTCAGAAGTAACAGGGAGGGTACAGATATCACAGAAACGGACATGGTTGACTGAGGCAATACGTAATGGTAAAAATAAAAGAATGACATGAAAACTTTCTTTACCGAGTATCAGATACCTGGGGAGGAAACGATACTGTAGGTAGTGCTCAGGTTGTCAAAGAAAAGGGGTCACCGAAGGCACCTGTAGGTCCGACAGCTTTACATTGACTTAGGGAAACTTTCTTTCTTTCAGCATGGTGAACTGAAAGGGGGTGGCTTGATGAGGTGCAGGGCATATCGGGCAGGGTCTTGAGGAGGTATGTTCAGAAAAGGGAAAAAAGTAACATGCCAGCGTAGCAAAAAGCAGAATGGAGAAATATAATGTCGTGGTGGAAAAAATAGAGCAAGGAAGACAAGAATGTATATGAATGATGCAGGAAAAAGCAAGCTTCCTACAGTAGGTAAAAGGAAAAAGCAAGTAAAATTCTTAGGAATCAGAGCCAGAAGATAAAATATCCCTTAAGTAGGTTTTATAAGATGAGAAAATACCAAACTCACTGTTATCGAAATCGCCTCCCATTTACAGCGATCTCCTGAGGCTATAAACAATACTTCTGCCCTGCGTTTTTTAGTTGCTACCAAAAACGGGCAAAAGAACGCTAAAATACCTGTAACTTAGAGAGGTACTTTATTTCCAGAAAAGTTACAAGGAAAATACAACTTACTTTTTATGCCAGATTACTCAGTCTCCGTGGAGACCGTCAAAAATTGCCAGTGCCGACTCTACTTCAAGTCGTCATGGCAGGGTATTGGGGAAAGTTTTCAATTAGCAATAATTGAGCCTCGGGTAAACCTCATTGGCTATGATATTGCCCACTGTGCAAAGCTAGGTAAACTTATTTCTTGATCAAGCATCTTGAGTGCAATCTTAGCCACATCTATGCATGAGGGGGTTAACAACCCCCCCCCACCCCCACCCACCCCCCCAAAATGGAAAAAGCTCTGCTGGGAAAAGCTCTCCAGTGTACATTTTTCCTACAGCGAGAGCATCAAGCAACTCACTCTGAGTTAGTGCACCCAGTGGCATCGCCTGAGAAAGTTCTCTCGGGTCACACTGAATTTTTTGGTAAAAGCAGTTTTGCTGTAACCTCATTTTTGGTGCTGGCCTATCGAAGAGAACAGCATGCAGCTGTGAACTTTTGTTTTCTGTTTGGGAAAAATACCCCAGAAACTGTTGTGATGTTGAACATACCTTAAAAGCTATAGGAAATCCTCTAGTGGACGAGTGGTTTTCTTATTTCAAAAAAGGTGAAATGTCAACTGCTGACAAGCCTCATTCTGGATGCCCATCAATTTCCCAAATGGATGAAAATGTCTACTTGTAGTGCATTGGGAGTTCATTCCACAGGTCAGACTGTTAATCAAGCTTTCTATTTAGAGGTTCTGAAAAGGTAGCTTAACGGTGTGCGACAAAAAAGGCCTGATTTGTGCCAAACAGAGGACTGGTTTTGCTACCGTAACAATGCACCTGCTCACGCAGCCATCTCTGTGCACCAGGGTTTTTTTATTATTTATTTATAAAAAAAACAGCAAGCCTCTCTTGCCCCTAACCTTACTCTATGCAACTTCTTTTTGCTCCATGAATTAAGAGGGAGATGAAGGACAGGGATTTGATGACACAGAAGAGGCGAAGAAAAAAACGAGGGAGGTGCTGTCAGCCATCCAAACAGATGAGTTTGAAAAATGTTTCCAAGAATGGCATTGCAGATTGATAAATGTATTGTTATGGAGAGTACTTTGAAGGCAATAAGGTTGTTTTGTTAAAAAAGAAATTACATAGCTTTGAAAAAAATCCAGTTTGGGGGCCGGGGAGTACCCCCTTGTATTTTAGGAGTGGGAAGTCAGCCAGAATTCCCCCAAATAATCTTGAAAGCTGCTTAACCACCTTAATCATTTTAATTAGGCCATATTTTCCAGGGAAAAAAAATGTTTTCACTGAAAATCTGGCATGTTTTTCCCAGGTATGACTAGGAGAAGGAAATGTTTCTTGCCTTCCTCTGATAAATTGTTGTTTCTTTGTAAAGGTGCCCCGAAGAGGTAAGAAGCCTCTGGTTGGTTGTGGGAGACTGTTGTTGTTGTTAAGTGCCATCGAGTCAGTTCCCACCCATGCCGACCTGTGCACAACAGAATGACACACTGCACCATTGGGGTCATCCTCACAACTGTTCCTATGTGTGAGCCCATTGCTGTAGTTCATTGAGGCAGCCACTGTGTCAATCCATCTCATTGGAGGCCTTCCTCCTTTCCCCCCACCTGTCCACTTTTCCTAACACGGCAGCCTTCTCCAGGGACTGGTCTCTCCTGACAATATGTCCAAAGGATCTAAAACAAAGTCTTACATTCTTGGCTCTACGGAGCACTCTGGCCTTACTTCTTCAAAGACAGATTGGTGTGTCCTTTTAGGAGTCCATGGTATTTTCAATATTCTGCCCCAGCACGACAATTCAAAAGCATCAATTCTTCTTCAGTCCTCTTTATTCCGTGTCAGATGTCCACATGCCGATCAGGTGATTGAAGATACCATGGCTTGGATCAGGCGCACCTTAGTCCTCAAAGTCGCATTCTTGCTTTTCAATACTCTAAAGAGATTTTGTATAGCAGACTTGCCCAGGGCAATGCATCTTTTGATCTCTTGGTTGCTGCTTTCATGAGCATTGCTGACGGATTCAAACATGACAAAGTCCTTGACAACTTCAATCCTTTCTCCATTTGTCATGATGGTCCAGGTGTGAGGACTTTGTTCTTCCTTACACAGTGAACCCTCGTTTATCGCGGTTAATCGGTTCTAGACCCTACCGTGATAAATGAAATTCCGCGAAGTAGGATTCCTTATTTGTAAAT